CATGAGCTATGCTAACTAAATATGAATATGTATGACTATTCTAGTTACATGTTTCACTTGAGGTATTTTCTTTTTGCTGTGGAGACAAACGTTTTCCTACACATGGCCCTGCCTAGGTACAAAAACATGAGTCCCTGACCTATACTTGTCAGTCTGCTGAAGGGTCTATTATAGTAAAATGTTTGAGATCCTCTTGTGTTATGTGCATTGACTTACATGTACAGCGCTTCACCCAGTAAAGGCAAAAAGCATCTCATGAAAACAAGTGTTCTCACTTCACTTCACAATCCCTATCTCTGACTTGATGGTGCAAGATCCATTTGCCTCACCCACACTGTCACGAGGACTGATGTAGTGATATATGTCACACACTGCTGAAAGCACTTAGAGCATGCTGTAGTACTGTATCTTTTATGATGCAGATAAAACGTCCTGAACTTTGCCCTGTGAATGCCTATCTGCTAATTTCACTAAGACTTAGATCCATTTGAAAGTTTTAGATAATGTTGTGGAGTGTTGCTATTTCCCCCAATTAAGAAGCAAAGCAGAGCAGTAGAGAATCAGAAATACAGCATGTGACCCACCAAGAAACAAAGCTGGCACATTTTCAGGCAGGCCGTAAACACAAAAGGCCTTTAAACCAAAACTGGCCTATTAAGCAGGACAGCAACTCATTCTACAAACATGGCCTAATATGACTGGGATCCAAATGAGAAATTCAGAGTGTTGCCTGGGACCCAAGCTCAATAATGTTCTCATTAGGTACGCCCTGAGAATTTCACTGTAAGCCCATGACCCACTTACAGCCCCAGACCCAAAACAAAATGGCTCCTACAATAATGTATTGACTTATTATATCGCTGACAGTCCTTCCAATAATGAATGAGTAATGATGTTGTGGAAGAGGCAGTAGGTTAATGCAAGGCTAAATTCACTGATAAGTTGGCAGAGGCCAGAACAGTGGGGATAATCATAATGGAACAACTGTGGATACATGATATGGCATCTTACTTTCATCCACTTTTCATCTTTCGGTAAATATGTGGGCCTAATGTTAAAATAATGTGACTAACAATTACTGTATAACTCTCCGGTTTGCTAAAGGCACATTTAATAGATAATTTAAATGTAACAATTACACAGATAGGATGCAAATTTTAAAGGACACCTGTACAGAATAACACAATCCAAGTGTCCTGCAAAGAGTAACATTATGGTATGATATTATGATTTTCTGGAGGCAGAGATTCAATTGTATATTTAGAAGATCCTCACGAATATAGCGTCTAGATGGGGGTTGTAAGCTGTATAAATTTTAAAGCAAATTTTATATCGGGCTGTATAAATGAAAGTGACTTGAAAATAACAAGCAAACCAAAAACAGTAACACCACCATTTGCACACTTCTTAGTCTCAACAAAAACAGAACTTATTATTCTCAAAGGGAATATTTACTGGACTTATAACAGGTGTACATGTGAAGTTAGTGAGTCCACAGCACATTCAGACTGTTAGCCTACTCATGTTTGTGATTGCATGATGACATTTGCAGAAAATCATATACCTTCATGAATTGTCTGACATTAAAATACACCACATTTACTGACATAAGCCTATATTGACTCTTCACTAAAGGACCTTAACGTCAGAAGTGCTCTCTATTACACACATGGCCCGTAGAGAAATGAGTTCAGCTTCTCCATTCATTCACATTTTCTGTTCCACAGGTAGGGTATTTTCAACACTGGTGTGGCGTTAGTTTGACGTGACACTCCCCCCATAGTCGATGGGAGGCCGACGTCACCCTGCCAGCGGAGGAGTGGATGGCCTCTGTAATAAAAATACATGAAGAGAATTGAGGAAAAGGAGAAGATTGGCCGAGGGGGCGAAAAACAGCAACCACACCGCGTTTAAGCCTTTGTTTTCATCCCGCTACTGAAGCCGTGGACGTGAACACCTTTTAACACAGACTGGGATATATTTTGGTTGCGGCATCGAGAGCTCCTGGCAGAAATGCAATGTTATGCGTGGCTTTCTTGGGTCTTTTGAGCAGGCAGCGAGAGATAACTGTACTGTATCCCAGTCTAGAGGATTGGAGTGAAAGTCCGCCATATTCTGCCTTACCACGCCCGGGAGTCGAGCCATTGGAAAATAAACCGACAGCTGTATTCATGGGTTTTTCCGGTTGCCCTCATCCACGGACGACAACTTGAACGCAGGTGATTTTGTTGGGCGAAAAATAACAACATTGAAGACTTCGAAGAGAGAAGGCGCGGATGGCAACGCTTAACGAGATCACGCAGAGCAATACGGAGGATGTGTCTTAAAAGGATCTGTTGATCATATTGAGAAGGAAAAGCAGATTACACCAATTAAGATTGGACAGATATTCCACTCAAACCGCTTTGGACACTATTTTGAAGCTGTCGGAAGGCGAGCAGAAACAGGGGGGAGGGGGGGGGGGTCAATAATTTCTCAAGTATCCAGTTTTCCTTTCCACCACAATCTGTGCGCTGTTCAGGCTCATTATAAGGGCGTCCACGCGTTGTTTTACCACAAGTAGGCCTGCATGAGGACATTATTTGGCATTCACAGGCCTCCGTTTGTTTGTTTGTTTTTTTTTACTCTGAAGAATCTGAAATCTGAATGAACCACTAAGAGGGAAAAGCAGAAAAGTGCGTGTTTTGGAGAGGGGGGGGGAGCAGAGAGAATGACCCTGGAATCCATAATGGCGTGTTGCCTCAGCGAGGAGGCGAAAGAAGCCAGGCGGATCAACGACGAGATCGAAAGGCAGCTCCGCCGGGACAAGAGGGACGCACGCCGGGAACTGAAACTGTTGCTTCTCGGTAAGCTGGGCGGGGAGGGAGTGGGGGGAGACAGATGTAAAGGCCAAATTCCTCTCAACAGAAATACCTTTGTCGGGCGGAGGGGTGTGTGTTGGGGAGTCTTTAAATGGGACTTCGCACTTGAGTGAAGTTGGGGAGTGAGCTCTTGACATACAGTATTTTGACTTGTGAGTGGAGTGCAGAGATTGGCAGGTTAGCAGACAGAAGAGATGCCTCCCTGCCAGGCCTTTAGGGCTGCTGGTGTAAAAAAACACCTGATTTGAATAACTGCGACCTGTTCCTGTCGAGGAAACAAATGCTTACCAGTTACTACGGGCCTTAACTCTTACCTGTTACCTCTCCACACTGGCCTGACAGAGGGCCCGTCCAGGTGGTGTGCTTATGAGTGTGTCAAATATGACTGGGCCAAAGTCTAGCGTTTTATTGGGAGTAATCAAGAGATGATTGCAGCTTAACACCTAACTCTTGCAATGATTAAATCACAGGTGTCAGTCTATAGAGCAAGGTTGGAAGCATGCTGTCCTATCATTCACACACATATATATATATATATGCTCATGTGATGGTATGCTCATGGACCCACCTTTTTATATATTTATTTTAATCATTCTCAAGTTGCAGAGACACAATGAGTTGTAGTAGATGCTTCTATTTATCTAGTTTGTCTCTTTCATCCACGGTGTCTTAATACCTAATCGTAAAATAATGGTGCCATAAAATATTAAAAGCTTTTGCAATTATTTTATGCTACCTGTGCATTTCTACAGTGTGGGGTTGTGAAAAGGGGGGCTAGGGTTGTAAATGCTGTCATGATGTATTAGTCATACTGGAGAAATCTGAGGAAAACAAGTCATCTACTCACCATCCCGTTTTAAATTAGATTTCCGACGAAAAGCCCATTAGCTGTGGTGACCGTGGTTGTGGAGAGTGGTGTCAGAAACCTCTCTTCCTGATCCGGCCCCTTTTGAGAAAATGCACGGAGGAGAAGGTGGTGGGGCAGTCTGGAAGTTAAAGTCACATTATCCAGACTACTTCCTGAAGAAGGCATGTAGGGTTTTTTCCTTACATGCCTTCTTCAGGATGTCAAGTGATGCTTCAAGAAAGTTTTAAGGAGAAAGCGTCCCCCTTTGCCCTCCTTTTAGTACAAAATGATGAAATGAATTCCCATAAACAGAAATCGAGGGAGCTGACTGCCACCTCCCTTGCTAACTACGGGCAAATAATTATGTTGTTGTTGCCCACTAATCTCTTTTAATACTCAACAATTTGCCCATTGTGCAAACACATAAATAGCCAATGACCCAATCCAAAAAGTGGTGATGTGTAAGTTTGAGTACAAAGCTGTATTTCTCATAAGAGTAAATGACATTCAGTCAATTATTAGTCAGCACAGGATGCTTACAATTAATGTCCTTGAATATTGAGTTGCAGGGAAGATACAATCCATTAAGTAGCAGAGTAAACCCTTTCCTGTAATGATGAACCATATATTTGATTTCTCTGTGACAAAACGAATAACATTTATGTTTTTTTTTTAATAACAAGAAAGTCACATTTTTCCAGAGAATAGATTCTACTCTGTGCGGCAATCATGAGTATAGTTTTTTGACTGATAGGTAGTTGTCTTTTCGGTGCGGAGTTGTCATGAGGTGTTTTAGGGACAATTTAAGGGGTGGCATTTAGAGGCTGACTGGAGTAGGAAATGTGATAGGAATATGGTCTAGGCTACACCATGATAACTGACTGTCGTGAACAAAAGTGAAGCTCATACATACACCAACACACCCATGTCTCAGCTCACAAAACAATTATGGCTAAATCCACCATTCAGTCAATAGTGTACATTCAATCAAAGTGTACATTTGTTGTGTTGTGTGTGTACATTCAATCCCACGCAACACAAGAAATGAGCAGGTTTTTAAAAAAAAACATTGCAAGCATTTAATCCATCCTCTGTGCATCTCATCCATTAAGACGCTGTAATCTAATAAGGGAGATGAACTCACATTAACACTCATTTAAACTGGGCAGATGACCAGTGGAGGAGTAGTTGCAGCGGGAGGAGAAGGAGTAGGTGGTCAGGGGTGGATAGTATAACACTCAGGAGCTGTCTGGCACACGCGTAGTTTAAAGCCAGCTAATGAGTCAGAGATACTAAAGGCTTCACTAAGAAAGGTGACTCAGGAAAAGTCCAGTAAAAATTTATGTCCACCAAAGCAGAAGAACAATGAGGCGGGGCATCTCCGCCAGGACCAACAAAAATTTATCTCCTTCAGCAATGTATGAACATAAACACATTGATGTTGTCATAATCCTTCAGAACAGCTCATGCTTCTCATTGTTCACAAGGAAAGAAAGCACTGATACGTTTTTTTTATTCTTCCGCGCTGGCAGGTCTGTCTGTCCCTATCCCCGTTCTCACAAACACAAAATCTCAGGAATGCCTGGTAGGAATGTCTTCAAATTTGAAATTAAAATTTGGTGCTCAAAAGTAGGGATGGGCTGGGATGGATCTATAATTTTTATTGATATTGATACCCTTAGTGAGACTGCTTAATGATCCGAGGCTTTATTGATACCACTATTGATACTTTACTATTATTATAGACGAGACCCAATGGGCATGAAGTAGGCCTGCACTGTATGAGTAAAATATTCAATGTGCGATAACATTGTTATATTTTGAGATGATATATCACTTGCAATAAGTAAACAAATTTTGAAGTGTTCATATTAGTTGCCTAGTTCTTTTAAAATTAATTAAAGGATTAGAATTGAATATTTTAAATACAACTAAATGTTTCTGGAGCAGCAACATAAATGTTAACAACAGCAACTTCACTATATAAAGCAAATATGGGGCCTCTCAATACTGAGTGATGTTTAGAAAGAATGAGAAACTCTGACATCAGTCAGCTTCTCCTCACTGCCTGTAAGTAACGTTACCATGTAGAAGGAGGAGCGGCTAGTTTGTCTCAGCCAGCAGCTGAGTTTGCAATTATGTGCCAAATTTTAAGACCACAGACCAGTCAGTGCTACAGACAGACTGCTTTCTATTTAGCTTGTTTTTAATATTTGGCTAATGCCAAGCTAACGTTAGCTGTGCTTGTATAAAACACACAGGATGAGAGACTGACGACAGAGATGATTAAATTAACCCTTTCTACATGTTTTCTTTAAAGACATGTTTGTATTGATAAAGTATTTTACTCACAAAGGTTTTATTGTACATACAGAAACGAGCGTAGCTGTCGTCAACTTGAGTAGTTTGAAGCTAACTTAACTTCACTTGTCTCCACTGCGACTGAGTGGCATCTCTCTGCTGGCCGCTGTGTGTGTGAGTGTGTGAGTGAGCCGACAGCGACTGCAGCCTGATGCTAAACAGTCCCGGGCCCGTTTAATACCGCGTTTTGGTGCTATCAATAAATAAACATTAGTTTGCTTATTCACCGTGTTTTAAGTTAAATCAGATTAGACACTCGAGCCATAACGTCACATTGACCCGCTAGTCTTGATAACAGTACTGAAAAGTCCTTATTGATTTTCAGGTTTTGAGAAAATTTGGAACCTGATCCTTTTAGAACTGGTATCGATCCCCATCCCTACTCAAAGGTCAAGGTCACAGTGAACTCATAAAACACATTTTTGGCCATAACTCAAAACCACATTTCACAGTTGATCAGACAATGAATTGGTTACATTTTGACCCAAAGGTTAAAAGGTCACTGTGACCTCAAAATGACCTTGACAAACATTTTTGGCCATAACTCAAGAAATTATGCAGTTATTATGACAAGATTTCACACAAATGTTTAATGGGATACAACGATGAAGTGATGACATTTTTTACCCTAAGGTTAACTATACTGTCATAATGTCCTGAAAAATTATTTAAAAAAAACACTTTTGTCCATTATTCAACACTATAACTGAGGGCCAGATTGAGAGCATGTTTCACAGTTGGTTGAAACTTTTGACTCATTGTGAGCCATAATTTAAGATTGACTGTGATGACACAATGAGTAAACAATGACTAGCACAGTGCAGGCTTTCCTCCATCTCGTCCATTCTGATTTTCACTTCCTGCGTCATAGTGAATTTCGAGCGTCATCAGAATCACGTGACTGCAAACAATGTATCTAAAAATGCCTGGAGAAAACAAAAGCACCACATTTTGTGAAGCTATACTTTATAAGGTACCATATATTCCCTGGAATCATACATACGTGTCATTGATATAGTGATAACTTCCATTTAACCCCAAAAAATCCACTTTATCCCTTTTTTATTTATTGAATTCCTTCCAAATATTTACTACATATATTAAATGAGACAGACATAGATGTAAACTACAACTTGACTGGTTAGCGGAGGCATAGAGCTGCAGGGCAGTAACTCTATTGAATTAAGTAATTATTATTTAACCAACAAGGCCAACAGCTAGAACAAAAAGTAGTTGCATATCATGAACTTTAAATTTTTGTAACTTATGCCATGCTTAACAATGGAAGTTTAGTGAAATAACAGAACTCGGTGGTTGAAAAACTGCAGCATGTGGCGTGAAACTAAGTTGAACAGACTCTTTTCACAGCAGACATCTCAACTTATCAAACACAGGTGTAACTAACAGCGTTAATTGCTGCATTTTAGGCAATGAAAGGGAACCGTCATTAATGTTATCAGATCCAGCTTTGCTTTTCTTCTTTCAAGTCAAAATGTGTGCTGTGAAAATCGTTGACGAATCTGATTAATTTGGGAACAACACCAGTGAGCACTGACACTAGCAAGATTCAGATTTGCAAGATTTATTCCCAAAGCAGAATAAACATGGTTTTCTTTTGGTTTTTCAGAAGCAGTCATGTCAGAAAAAGTTTAGGAACCACTGACATAATTGATAGACACATGCTAGCCAGGGGAGGACATAAGATAAGATGCTAACAGCTGACATGTACCTGAACAGCAGCCAGATTATAGTTTGTCACAACACATAAGCTAAAATGGGCATACCTCCAAACAAAATCAGATTGTTTCAGATTAAAGTGGTGCATTATAATAATATCAAGTGCTGAAAAGACCTTTGACTTTGACATATTTCGGTCAGAGAAATCAGGCAGAGTTTGGCAAATCTGGCAAAAAATGAGCAGGTGAAGACCTGCGTATTTAGAATCTTCTGTGGGACGGAAGTTGGCACAGGTGACGCTCGTTGCGAAAGTAAGGCTCATTGACTGAGCTGCTCCACTGAAGGAGTGGTAAACAATGCTTAAAGGGCACTTGACTAGTTTTTTGAGATAAAGAAGAGCACTTCAACCTACACTTTCATTCTTTATGCGACTATCGCCACTGTGACTGTAGATGCCATGGGAGCAAATTTAGCTTTAAACAACGTTTATTTGATCAGTAAAACCTTGTTTCATGGTAATTACATGTTGAATGATGGTAAAAATTATGAATACCACTAGACTTAGGTTGTTCTCTTGTCTTTATTTTTGAGGAAAGTGAACTTTAAGCATGACATTAGGTCTGGAGTAATGTAAAGTGACAGGGGCTCAATTCCATTAACTGCAGTCATGGGAAGTTCATGATGAATGAAGAGAGAAAGGCAGCAACTCTAGGAATGGTAACATAGCGACTGACAACACAAAATAAATAGAGAATCTGTGTTCTTGAAGAAAGGGAATGGGAAACTGAATTGGTTTGTGTTAGATAGTTAAGATAGTATTACTAATTAGACTCTGTACTAATATATTGTAATGCGGTTGTGAGCATGGGTGTAAGGATGTTTTGACATCTAAGACTAACCAGATTCCCATGATCCTTTGTATGCCGTCAGTGTTTTGCCTCAATGCTTCGCCTGTATGGAACATGTTTACTGTACATACATGACACACTAACCTGAAACTGCTAACAAGACATGTACAGTGTGGAGTCTCTTAGGATGGTAGTGTATTTGAGTAGCTTATTATTTGACATCAACCCAACAATTTATAGGTTTACAGGTTATTAGTTAACCTCACAAAGTGGAGTATACTGGAGCTGAATCCATTAGTCAATCAGTTAGGCCCAGTCCAATGGTAGAAAATGAATCTACCAACTATTTCAATAATAAGTTGTCATTTTTAAAGAAAAATGCTAAACTTTTATTGGTTACAGCTTCTCAGGATTAGGATCTTTTGGGTTAGGACTGTTGGTCGGTTAAAAGAAGCCATTTGAATATGTCACACTGGGCTCTGACATTTCATGTACATTTGTCACAATTCTGACATTTTATTGTCAAAATGATCAATTAATAAAATTGTAGTATCAAAAATGACAAATAATTAGCTGGTGGCCTTCATTTAACCCTTGTATTATATAGTAAAATTGAGCCAGAGAGACACATCATTGCTGCATAGTACTTTCTTGTTGCATTTCTACATGTTTTGCATGCATCTGACTGGTCTGGTTATTTGGAATTAAGATCTCAAACATCTGTTGACAATCAAAAGGGTTAAACATGATTAATTATCAGGCTCGTCTCCATCTGCTAAATTGATTTAAAATTGCTCAATTACAAAAGTGGCACAGCCCAGCACGAATCCTCAAGAGCCCATTGGACCTACTTTATGTTCCCGTTTACACACTTGCACATACACAGAGAAAATTAGGGACAAGTGGGATGACAGGATTTGGAGGTATATCAGATTCAGAACATCACGAACAACTTGGATTATTAAATTATGTCTATAGTCACATAAAATAGTTGCTAAATTAGGCTCAGATTTTGCACAGCTGAAATCATTGCACCATTACAACATGTTTCAATCTGCACTTTTCCCCTCAAATTGTGCATATCATTTGTCAAAAACGTTTGCAAAAGTGTTGATCTACCCAATCACCGTCAGCTTATTTTATTTGACAAATGAAAGCTGTGGAAACTTTGTCAAGGCTCCGACTGAAAAAAGTCCACCAAAAACGTTTAATGAGCTTTTAACAAACACATGGTTGTAATTGGGAGTGGAAGCACTAAAAAGATGTCATATGATTTTTGTATGAATGCAGCCAAGTCAACAGTGCGGCAATAGAAAGTGCAGAATTAGGGAGGAAACTATAGCAGGTCATAATATGTTGTAAATCACTTGACATAGTATCAGCATGTCAAGTTATGTCTTGCAAGGCATTGCCTAGAAATTTGCTGGTGCAGCCTTAAGGCTGTCTACCATTACCCTGAATCGATTTGACACCCACAGGAGTGAGTTTCTTTATGAAGGTGAAAAACAATCATTTGGATGTTCAGCAAATGGAACATTTCTACTGCCCAATAAAAGATCAAGTTCAGTTTCATTACATAGGATCATTCAGTCTTGACCTGTAGTTTCACACACATTACTGCTTAACACTATCCTTGGACTTAATTTAAACATAGTTGTTATCTTTCAGTTCATTAAAGTGCTTTCATAGCCATATTTACACTTCAGATTTAACATGGCAGAGAGGGAGAAGAGCTTTCTTTATCTAGTCATATACTGACATTTTAATGCAAAAACTCAAAATCATATTCAAGTAAGATGGTGAAGGGCTAATTTTATGGTTGTGAGCTTGACTTTCCTGCCAATACCTGCTGAAGTAATCCTGTAAGAAATCTGTTGTAACTGTAGTATAATCCTATAGTTTTCACTTTAAAATCAAAACCAAGCAGTGCTATTAACTACGGTCCGAAGGGTAAATCTGAAGTAATCAATAGTGTTTTCCAGATCTGACTACTGCACAGATGCTACAGACTGTAGTTAGAGAAACACTTTGCATTACCCCCCCCCCCCCCCCACACACACACACACACACTCTGTGTGTTAACTCTTTTCTTCACTCATGCATTTTTTATAATGTGTACATAAATTATAACCTGCATTCTGTATTTATATGGTCCGTATCAGTCTGAACAGTTGCAGCGTCCAATCAGTAACTGATATCCAATCATAGACTGTATCCAATAAGACGGTGTGTTGCCCAGTAAAAGACTTCCGATAAGGCTGCTCTTACGTATCCTCGCTCAGAGTTCCCTCCTCGATCCTTGATCCTCACTGCTCTGAGCAGAAACTAAAGCTTTGGGACAGCCTGCAAGATGGCGCACTAGAAGGACTTTCAGTTCAAGCAAGGATTGAGGAAATATCAAATAAGAGACTTGAGATGTACTCTGTGTATAGCAAACACTGTGGTTTTGTGGTGCATTTAGGGGCTGTCGAGATGTACAACTTCAAAGACTTGTCTTGTGGCTAATGAACAACAGCTTTTTCAGTGGAAGAAGCGACCACATTTAAACATTCCCTTTGTTTAATATATGCTGTTTGCTTTACCGTTTTTTGTTTGTGACAGCGTAGAGTGTGTGTGTGTGTGTATGTATGTATGTATGTATGTATGTATGTGTGTATATATATATATATATATATATATATATATATATATATATATATATATATATATATATATATATATATATATATATATATATACTGTACAAAGGAGAGTAACACTAGGTGACAGTGGAATGCAGGACAAGTCTCTTGGCCGCTGACATGCAGAACACACACATGCACTCCTTCCTGCCAAAGTTGTTCAAGAGTGAGCGGCGAGGTAAAGTTAGACTGTTCTGCTGTCTGCCAAGATTCTCAGTGAACCAAAGAGAAACTACGCCTCCAGCTCTTCACACCCAAATAGTCCCTGTCACCACTGAGAGGAGAGAGATGTTGTTCTTGGTTTGTCACCAGACCAAGAACAACAGGCTGGGAGGAAAGTAGCCAGCAGCACATAATATAATAAGAGTGACTGACTGAGTACACGAGTGAGTAAATAAAGCCAGGATTCAGTTTCCCCGGAGTGAATTCTGATACCTGTTTTGTAAAATCTGAGAGTGCACAAGCATTGCATGACAGGATGTTAAGTTGGGACTCTCATTTAATTCCTATTTCCTGTTTTTATAAGAAGCATATTAATTTATTTGTTCACGCAGTTATACAGTCATAAATTAAATGTGAAAATATAAGGACAGTGTTGATCTGATTGTTACTGTGGTTGTATGAGGTTTTGTGTGTTTTTTTGCCTGACACCGTGAGGGGTGTTTTTCTAGCCTGATCTGATGCTTAAGAGCCAGAGTTTCCCCCACAGTTGGTAGAGAAAAAGAGAGGATTAAATAAACAGTGAATATTGGACATATTTATAAATTATAGTGATCTTATCTGCAGGAATACCAGCAAGATTTTTATAGCTGTCATGTAGTTGCTGTGTTATTTTTAAAAATATGACTTTTGTTATGTTGTTGCAGTTCTTTCTTTGGCCACACGGGTCCAGGAAAGTCATAAATGACTACATGTCCATTTAAGGAGCGTGGACGCTGACGCTGTGTGTGTGTCGTCTAGTTAAATGAAACCCCGCACAAACCTACAAAATTAATTAACTCTGTTTACGGTGTCCCTTTTCCCTGTCTACTTTCTCAGGCACCGGGGAAAGTGGAAAGAGCACATTCATCAAACAGATGAGGATTATCCACGGCACCGGCTACTCCGACGAGGACAAAAGAGGTTTCACCAAACTGGTCTATCAGAACATCTTCACAGCCATGCAGGCCATGATCCGAGCCATGGAGACGCTCAAGATCCCCTACAAATATGAGCACAACAAGGTAAATGAGATCCTTCCACTCAAGCCATTTCAAATACCTCAACTGAAACAATGACTATAGTGAAGTGTGGCCAGTAGAAATGAGGAAAAGAGAGAAAGAAGCAGCAAAGTGGCCACAGTTTATTTTGTTTATTTTTAGAGTGCTGTCTATCTTATTTGAAACAGCCATCCATAATCGTTTCCTGTTCTTTTTGACACTTCCTGTGTCCTTAAAGCGCTCCAGCCCTCCATCACACCCTGTGTATTTGTGTTTGCTTGTGTATTTCTGTGTGCTCAAATCCATGTGTGCATGTACACACACACAAATACACGTATGCAGATACACAAGAGAGACTCTCCTCACACAAAGTTACTCTCTGTGTGACTTCAGTGGGTCCTTTTTTTTTCATTTGTGTGAGTTACCCTTGTAGTCATAGCTTTGGGAGCTGTTACAATGACCTCTTACCCGCAGTTCATTCCCTGTGAGAGTGACACATAAAAGGAAGCGGAGCGTAGTTGTCATCCCCTCGGCAATGCTTTTTATAATGAGACAATTTCAGGTGAAAGCTGACCACAGTGCTTTAGCTCCTCCCTGCCTGGCCACAGTCCAGTCGGACATTGTTCTCTCATTGTTCTCTTGTTCTGGTTTTGAGATTTGGTTAGGAAGGGTTGTAAAATTATTTAGTAGATTTTAGTGATATATCCAGAACTCGGATCACAATCGTGGGATGTTACAGTAGGATAAGAAGTATTTCACTTGTAATGCAAAGAAAAAAAGTGTAATAAAAACTGAAATTGTGGATATTGTAATTGTATTACAAATGTATTTTGGTGAGTCACATTTTATCAGCATTGTCATCTCTGTAAATGACATCAACACATAGACCAGTTGCCATCGGCTTAATTTCATTAGAGGAGGGAATATACAGAGGCTTTCTAATACGTTACAAAATTAATTCTTAAAGGGTGATTAATCAAACTTTATTTTCAATTACGATATTGGCGATTATGAAAACAGATAATCGAGACAAAACGACTATTGTGTTGCATTCAGTTTTGCAGTGATTCTCTTGATTGATTGTGTTGTAAATCCAGCGCACCTTTACGTCGGTGCCCTCTCTAAAAGCCCAAAGTCACTCTCAGGCTGGCTGTGGCTGTGATTTAATTGTCAAGGTTTATGATTACGCCCTATCACGATTAAGCCCTATAAATCGTGTTGAGTAATCGTGTTCTCAATATTTACCAAAATAATCATGATTCCTAATCCTAGTAATAGTGTTGTACGATACCAGTCACCTCTGTGGAAGCATTGGTATAACTGTCTTCGCGCTTTTGTAGTTGTGCTTTGGTATTTTAGGAGGTGTTGTGTGTCTGTTATGATTTTGTGTGTTTTTCTGATGGACCCCGAGTCTGACAATAAAGTTAAAATGAACTGAACTTATGATGATGATTATGATTTTTGCCACAACAGAGCAGCCATACTTCAGTTTTAAGTATTTGGTTATGTATTTCTGGATAGTCAGGGCAGACCTTACAGGCGGATTTCTGAAGGTAAAGCAACAGCTTGTTGCATAACCACATGTTGGTTGCATTTGTACCACTGTATATCTGACTTTATGTTTACAATTTACAGACAGCTTTTAGTCATAACAGCTTATTTTTGTAGACTGAGGATTTGTGAAAGAAAGCATTGAATTATCACACACTGTCAGCACATTTAAATCATGAACCTTCATCAGGCATCAAATTCTCAATATAAAAACAATACATCTTTATGCTGAAGAGCAACCAATGAAAAGGGGGAGCCAAACCTCAAACACCTGTTCATTAGATAGCACTCGGAATAAACTATGATATTCAAAATAGCACCACAACTTGGATTTATCTTGAGCAGGCACTTTTTGAATCTCTGCCGTTGTGCTGGATCATCATTCTCTGTGTGCTTTCGCTTCCCTCATGCTCATAAAGAATGAAAGTGAATGTGTTTCAGCCCAGCAATTTCACCATTGTTTTACCCACTTTAAACACCATAAAAACCAAGTACATCCCTCAAATAGGCTGAGTAAAAACAATGTCACTGTAATCGGTTTTTATTAGAAAAAAATAAGAGACAAAAGACATTTAGTAATTAAAAGTTTTAAATTCCAGTTTACCACCAGCTCCCTTCATACAGCATACTGTAATCCAGTATATGGACTATCAAAATGGCTTTTGTGGGTTTAGTGTGTTTGGTATGTGACATACTGGGATACTATTATCCGAGGAAAGTAGTTAAGTACAGCAAACAAAATTAAGTGTGCGATGAAATCAGAAGTTATGTGTACAATGCAAACTACTGAAAGCCTTGTTGACTTTGCATTCAACATCCCTGTGCTCTCATATACATACGGCCGAAATGGGAACTTATTATACCTTTTTGACAAACGAGTTCGCTGACATCACTAAGGAAGTGAAAATGAAACATGTCGATCGTATTTACACAGATTCAGTGGGCATTTATGTAAGGACTGTAGGCTAATCAGTGTAGTGTGTACTGGTTACCTTCTTTGTCCTTTTATGACATCTTTCTTGCTCATTTTTTTGTTATTCTTGTGGTAGTTCCGGTAGTTTGTAAGAATAAAGAAACTGATAAGAGACAAAGAGACATATTGGAAAATAAAACTCTTTCCTCTCCACCGTAGATTATTTCAAAAGGTGTAATATCATGGCCAAGTCTAAATGTTTCAGTCACATAAATATTTTACATCTTTTACTCCACATCCATTACAGCACTTTAAATAAGTAGAACGTTAATTCTTTTGTTTTAATTAATTCATACTGTATGACTATACACTGTAGGTTATCCTAAGTAAGTGAAAAGACTTGGATAGGGGTTAGATGATGATTCCAATGCATTGTTATCCTATCATAATAGCTCCCTGTTTTATGATAACAGCTGGTCAAATTACGTCTGTCCAGCACAGACGTAATTATACATCGTAATATAATATCAGTGCAGTATGTGAAAGAGGAATCGTTTCAACTTTCGGGAACATGTTGATCTCTTGTCATGAGACACAGGAGAGTTTTAATTGGAATCTAGGACAGCAAAACTTTCCCCTTAATAGGCCCAGCGGGATTTGAGCTTCAGATATCAGGCCCATGCCTGGGGGTGTAAAGACATTGCTGGATATAGAATATGTGAGAAAATAAACTTGTGATAATTAGGCCTTTCACAATTATCAAAAAAGCTTGATGAAGTTTTAAGAAAGGAAGTATTACTTTTTGTTTGGTGTTGTTAAATAAAGATGTGCGTCTCAGTAAAGCTGATGATACACGGAGCAACTTTTAGAGCAATGGTGCTGAGCAATGTTGCCGTCAATGGTAATGAGTAAAGATTACTACCGTAATCCCCTTCCCCCATCACTCCGCCACCCTCCCCGCACCACCGCTATCCGTTCAAAACCTAGTCTGACTTGGCACCAGCAAGATTGCTCAAAAAGTTGCCCCGTGTATCATCAGCTTTAGTCACTGCAGCTTTTCCTTTGTTTCTTCCCTCCAGGGCAACGCCAACATTGTGAGAGAAGTGGACGTAGAAAAGGTCTCCATGTTCGAGAATCCTTATGTAGATGCAATCAAGAGCTTATGGAATGACCCAGGCATCCAGGAGTGCTATGATCGAAGGAGAGAATACCAACTCTCAGACTCCACCAAATAGTGAGTAGAATGGAGTACCACACAACGAATGCAGATGTTCGATATGAATTGAATTCAGGCTTATAAGAAATCTCAGGGAAGACTTTTCTAAAGGTGTTTTAAGGTGAAACACAAGACTTCCTTGAAGGTACTGTGTCAGCACTAGAGACACATTTTTTGGTGGTTTCCGTGATTACAAATACACATCCTGGTTAATTTTCTCCCTCTGTGTGTGTAGTTACCTGAACGCGTTGGACCGGATCGCCGAGCCAGCCTACCTTCCCACTCAGCAGGATGTGTTGAGGGTTCGAGTCCCCACCACGGGCATCATTGAATACCCGTTTGACCTGCAGAGTGTCATATTCAGGTGAGGGAAATATATTGAGGATCAGAAAACATAAAACAAAGGAACATTGTAAATACTCAGCACAGGAAATGCAGGGAAATGTTAAACAAAAACACTTTTGTTTAGACGCCATAGCCATTTATATAAGTATAGAATAATATTGATCCACAACTACTGACTTGACCTAAAGAAGTCCAAGTCTAACATTCCCAAAGTTTTTAGTCTACAACAAGTGTGTGTATGTTTTTACATTTTACTCTCTATTTTTACTCCAGGACTTGTAAAAGAGAAATATTGTACCTTTTTTATGCAACTTTATTTATCTGATGGTTGTACTAAATTCATCACAATGCAGATTAATATTTTATATGTGACAAGTACATTAAGCTCATAAAATATACATGCTTTATTAAGATTTAAAGTACCCAAAAGTAAAATTATGAATGCTTAACATGTGGCTGCTTTTGTTCACACCACTTTATAACAATGATACACTTTAACTCAAACAACTTCACTGAAGCACACTGAACATGCAGTTTCACTTTTGATTCTTCGGTATATTTTGCAGGAAATTCCCCTTGTCTTTATCTCGCTTAGGTGGAATTATGGTCATAGTCACAATGTTAATATTCAGCTTTTCCTCAGCTGAATATTAGAATCACTTTGAAATCACACCCAAGGATCACCATTCATGACGTTTGATTGCACATTTTTAACGGGCTAAAGGTGCTCGAAAACTCATGAAACTTTGCACGTATCAGAGCTGCCCGAAATTACCTCGATATGGGTCTCATGCAGGGACTTGGCAAAATGGCTCGCTAGCGCCCCCTACAGAGCAGCTCCCGCAGCACGTTTCACCTAGATGCACAACAATTTTGTGGCAGATGTATCAAGTCAAGATGTAAAAAAAACAAGCCTCTTGGAGCCATTCCCTAAAGAATCCTCCTAGAGAATTAATCAGATCGACCTCAGACTTTCACAGTGCAATCTAAACACACTGCCAAAGAAAAGCTGTGAGTTTTTCCTTGGAGGCCATGCCTGTGGCGTTGAAGTTGTTGTAACTTGAGTATACACGGTCAAATCTGTACCAAGCTTCACATGTTTCAATTAGTCCCACCCTGAAGTCATCTACATTCAAATATTCAGTCATTGTCACAGTAGCCCCTACTTGCAACAGGAAATGATAAGTTTTATACTTTCACGTATTCCTCCTGTCAGGTTGACCAGATCCACCTCAAATATCAGATATTCAAACAGATTTCCAATGCTTGTAGTGACTGTTTTCTCTCTCCTGAATGCTGCTGCCACAACAGGATGGTGGATGTTGGAGGTCAGAGGTCGGAGAGGAGGAAGTGGATCCACTGCTTTGAGAACGTTACGTCCATTATGTTCCTGGTCGCTCTCAGCGAGTACGACCAAGTTCTGGTGGAATCGGACAACGAGGTGAATAATGAATACACACGCACACAAAGTGTTTTTAGATTTATTTGTGGCGGACAACAGCAAGTCAATTTATATTGTTTGTGCAATGCACATTTTCAAAAACAATTTCAGCTATTAAAACGCTTTATTATTTTCTGTGATGTGGAAGATGAGTTGGCTCTGAAGATCAAAAGCTATTCCTTAATTAAAACAATGGAAATCAGGTTCTCCTCCTGCCTGGCTGTGCTCCACCTTTTTTTTTTACTTTGGAAAGCATTTGTAAACAATCAGGCAGCTGTTTTGAATACTCCTCGGGCCAGATCTCCTTCTTGAGAGGATACAGCATGTGTGTCAGTTTGTTAAAGTGTATTAATGAGCAGGTGTGTGTTCGTGTGTGTGTCGTCTTGGTTTTGTGCCCGTGTGTTTTTCTTCCTTTGTTACTGTGAGTCCACAAAGACTGACCAGCTGCAGGTCTCCGTATTCTGTTGTCAGTAGATTAGTTTTTATATTATATAGGAAATATTGTCTTTAGCAGTCTTAATACAGTGCAGTACCGGCAATGTGATATCTAAAGCTTGCTTTCAGAAGGGTTATTATTATTATTATTATTATACAAGTGGAGAAATTAAACTCTTGCAGGTGACTTGGCCACCGTTCTCTGATCTTTGCTGCTCTCCCTCTGGTGTGGTAAAACGTTTATTAAAATCTGTTCTTAATGAATATGAAAGACTGTGGTTTAATTAAGTGATGTTCTCCCCCCCCCCCCCCCCCCGCACACATATTCACACACTCTCTTTGTAGAACCGGATGGAGGAGAGCAAAGCTCTCTTTAGGACAATAATCACATACCCCTGGTTCCAAAACTCCTCAGTCATTCTCTTCCTCAACAAGAAGGACCTGTTGGAGGAGAAGATCATGTACTCTCATCTGGTCGACTACTTTCCAGAGTATGATGGTGAGTCACAGCAGCATCGTGTCAGCCCAGTCCATCCCAAATTTGAAACATCTGAATGAAGCACAAAACTCCTCTTAGCTGCTAGTTTGCACACCATGACAGGTCTTCTTGCCAAGTTTTCAGCCAGGTTTCAGCTGTAAGAAGTTTTAGATCCATATTGATATACTTAATAAATATATACTATATACTTATGAAACTGTTATTGGCTTATATTGATAATGTGTCCATATATTGGTGTGTACTACTCAGTAATATATACTGTATTATGCTGGCAAACATAACACCTAAATACCAAAAGTATAATCGTCTCATATGTTTGTAGGATTATGACCATGCTGGACATATTGTTCCGCTAATTAGTATTTGACAAGAATTGCAAAAGAAATGTCAGACTGACACCCAAATTCTGCTTGATACATTTTATAGTATTTGACGTATCTGTGATATCTTGGTTTAAAAACAAGTGCCTACGTCTGAAATTTCATGTATTTCAGACATGACATTTCTTCTTAAATGTCAAACACTTTGAAATGGATCAAAGTAAAACTGATTGTTCATTTGTGAAAAGCCTTCTGGATTACTGAAGGCAGTAGATGTCGTCTTTTTGACTGTTGGGGAAAACAATCGGCTTCTAACAGGAAAGCTTTCAATAATCCCGCTGGTGTTGACAAATGCACAAACAAAAATGTTATAATTGTAGTAAAGTAAAGTAATTTGTGCTCATTTTCTTGAGTGAACGCAGACACTTGGAAACAGTGTGGTGTTATAAATAAATCAGGACAGGTACCAAAAAAATCAGTACCTTATAAACATCTGCATCTTCAGAGTATCGAGTAGACTTATTGTGGAATGCACTAGCCTGCAAGAAAAACAAATTATGCCAGAAGGATTTTGAACTTATTTGTTCCCCTAAAAATAAGTGTCTTTTTGTTTTGGGTTGAGTGAATACAGACAGTGTATAATGGAAAAAAACAGTTCATTGTACCCTCTGGCAAGTGTATTCATGGAAACTCGTCTTCCCCCTCTCCAGGTCCCCAGAGGGATGCCCAAGCAGGGCGAGAGTTTATCCTCAAGATGTTTGTGGACCTGAATCCAGACAGCGATAAGATCATCTACTCTCACTTCACCTGTGCCACCGACACAGAGAACATCCGGTTCGTCTTTGCCGCCGTCAAAGACACCATCCTGCAGCTCAACCTAAAGGAGTACAACCTGGTGTAGAGCGGAGCAGGGCTGCCAACAGGAGGCCCTCAACACACACTGACTGATGCAATCTGTGAAAAGATAGATCATATACACACACATTAAAAGGAAAATCAGAAGAAAAAAATCTAATGGTTGCATAATACTAATTTATTTGCCATTTGTTGACCTCTTGGTCCCCAAGGGGTCAACAAAGTAAATGTTTTATTGCTATTTAAGGAGTTGATGAAATATTGGAGGGGGGGGGGGACAAGATATCTGGAAGGGTTGGGGAGGCATTTGCTGTTGAACATGTACAGCAACGGTCCTCATTTCTACGCTTGACAAAAAGAAACAAACTACTTTGGGGGCTTGTTTTGTCTGTCAGTCTGATACATCAGAGCTGTAGCAAATGCAATGTGCTCCCTCCCTCCCTGCCTTTTTATAAACAAGAAGGAATTCAATTTCTTTTTTTTTTACCCTCCCTCATTACCTACCAGTTCATTCTGAAGATTCATCCATTTACCTGTTTGCCCAACCAGAAATGATGTAACAGATCTCTAATTGACTGCTTCCTGTTTTTCTTTTAAGGACTAATTGGCAAGTCTCTTGATGAAAAGGCATAAACTGTGATTTTTTTTTTTTTAAATGATTTCATATCAATTTGGTATTGATTGACTTAAATCATTATTATTATTACACTGACTTTGGTATCATCCGATGACTAGAGCATGTGTGACCGTGGAAGTATATTCTCCACATTTTGGGGAAAGTAGCCTGAGTCCTGTGTTTAGTGACAGTCATGTGACAATTCTCCAGCATTGCCATAACCATGAAGTTAAGAAGTGTGAGAGAAATTTGGCTTTTAAAAACGCTGTGAGTGGCCACTTGAGAAGGCACACAGGGACCTCTTCTCTGTCATGTCATGAAGACCATGACGGTGCTGGCTGCTTTACACAGACTGAAGGAAGTAATAATTTATGAGACAATGTTGTTAAATGATTTATGTTCAACTGTGCCACCTTAACGCTTTTTTATTATTGTAATATGTATATTTATTGTCAATGCCAAAACAACTCACGCACCAGACTCCACTTTGCGTTGTGTACTACTTTAATGAAAGGAATAAGCGTTGAGGACAGGAAAAGAGCAGGGTGAAAGAGCACAGAAGGAGCGGAATGACTGACCGACAGTTTTTGAAGTATTCAACAAAATCAGAGAAACTGTCCAATCACAACCTCGGGTGTGGCTACAAACCCCTCCCCCTGGCCTACAGACTATCCAGTCACACTTTAGCTGTGTCTATTGATGATGGCTTTCTTGACTGTTGTAGTTTAATAGCAGTGGAGAATACATTTGGCTTATATTCCTATGTAAACGGGCTGAGTGTTCATATTCACTTGTTACCAAAGTAAGCCCTTCTAGTTTTTGATTGGCTCCTCAGATTTGCAGTTGCTCATTCCCAAGTTACTTTTAAGAATTTTTGGAAACAATTCCCTTGAACATAAGCCTGTAATTTACATTTATTGTGGCATAGTGCAATTATGAATGCTATAATCATTGTACATACATCTCTCTCTCTCTCTCTATATCTATATCTATATCTATATCTATATATATATATATATATATCTATATCTATATATATATATATATATATATATATATGGCAGCATCTCTGTTGGCTTTGTAATCATTACGTTTTTGGCAGATTGAATGTGCGGTATTGAAAATATGTATCTATGTAATTGTATTGTATGTAGGCTAATAACATTTTGGGGGAAAAAAACATATTATTTACACATTTGGTTTTGTTTCCTTTTTTTAAAGAGAAGAATGTACACTTTGTGTTTTGTTTTATTTCTCAGCACAGAAACATTGTTCAGCTTCAGAACAGCATAAAGAGGAATATTATTATCCAACAACCGATCAATTCGCATGCCAGTACATATTGTAGCTGGTTTGTTAAATTGACTTTTATATGAAAAACTGCAGACTAACTACAATCTACAGGGCTACTTCTAATAGTTTAGTTCTTTACTGGCTTCAAGAACTTGACATTTGCACTTTTCATATAGGCATAGTCACATCACTCATTGATTCTTATTTTTTATGTTTGATTTCATTACTCACTCAATAAGTATTCATGAACTTTGATATTTAGTCTACTGCACACCTTGTGATCCTGAGCACTCCCCACCCCACCGCCAACCACCTTTTGTAGGCAAGATGTTATTTTTAACACGTATTAGTAGAACAAGGTAGATGTCAGGCAGGTAAAGTGTTGCTTGGGCTCAGATTTTGTATAAAAATCATGTTAGGGACTGTGTTAGTAGATTGGAATGCCCCCCCCCCCTTTACACCCCCGTCAAATGACCCTCCACCCAGATACAAACTCTGTATTATAGTGTGTCAGAGTCCATGGCTTACCAATGAACACAAACGTGCAAAAATGACAACCATTTGGCTTTATTAGGATGGTACATTTACAGGTGCTTTCTTTCTTTCTTTCTTTCTTTTTTATTTCTTTTATCTCGATTGCCTCCATTTCATTAGAATGTACAGTATTATTTTGGACTTTATTTATGAAATGACTACATAGGAGATATTACACAACAAGTTCACATGTACATACTGCCTTATTGAATAAGCTGTGCCTCTGAAATCCATGCAAGGCACCTGTGTTTTTATGAGAAGTGAAGTTAGTGCATCCAATAATTTCCCCTTGTGCAGATGGAGGATTGTTCGGTTTTGGCTCTTTGTTATTCTGAGCTATAAGAAGACCTGGGAATAGCTTTGAGTTGTAGCTTATATGACATTGTTACCAGAAATTATCAGCACGTCATGAGTGAACTGTAATCGGAACACACTTTCTATTGATTTCATAATGTTGCCACATCAAATTCATGTCTTAAAATCCACGCCACAGTGCATTATAATGCACTGGACTGCCTGATGTGACTATGATTAACAGTGCTCCTACACATCAGTATATGTAGAATGTGCCTGTCTGGTCTCCAAATCACCAGCAGCCACCTGCGGACTGTTTTCTCGCCATTTGGCGGTGGTTTCGGCATCTACCAGCCACTTTGGCAAGTAACCAGCCCTCACTTGGAGGTCCTGTTGTTTTCAGATATTTCAGCTGGCTGCTGAAATTGCATACAAGGACGGTTGATTTTGGCAGGCAACAACCACCTCAGCAAGTTCATTTCCCATCCAATTCACATTGTACTTGAAGTAAATCAAGATCTTACAATAACCACTTGTCAACAGCAGTAGAAAAAAGCGTGGGGGGGGGGGCAGCAGCTCGTCACACATTTTACTGAATGTTAAAATGGTGTTAATGTAAAAACTGCTTGTTGCCAGAGGAGATGTTTTGAAGCTGAACTTTAGTTTCAACTTATCAGAGTTGCTGATCACTTGTAGAGCTGCAGCAAACGGTAACTTGTCTCTGCTGTTGTAAAGTGGCTATTTGCATTGTCCTTGTTACTTAAAGGGAAAATCCTTGTTTAAGCAATTTGCTGAGCAGAGACCACACATCCATGTTTGTGAGCCTCAAAAAGTCATTCAGAAAGCTCAAGTGATAAAGAAATGACAAAAGCTGGAGTGTTTCAACTAACAGATCTAAGATTAGTGGGTTTTTTTACACAATGATGACAGTATATTATAATCTATATTGTGTATATGTTATACTGGCAAAAATGCTAATTATGATAGGATTTCATCAGAAAAATATGAGCCACAAAAGACTGTTTCCAAGATTTGTGAGTGATTTGTTCATGTTGGCATGATTACTCTGAGGGAGCACATGTGAGTTACCTTCCGGCTGGATTTTCCCTTTAAGACACCACAGACTCCAGCTGGTGTTGACTTGCTGACACGCATTGTTGAAAACCTCTGCTGCTGGTTAAATTTCATGCAGTATGATCAAGAGCAGCACAGTGTTACTTACAGTATATTGTGGGCTACGTTATGTGGAACCGCAGGGTCGCGTGTGGGGAAAAATAACTTTCTATAAATGGCTCTTTGCTCAAGTCTTAGCCTACTTTTTTTGGGTTTCTTTGTCTCCAAATAAAGAAGATATGAAGTTTAATGACTCATTTTGAAATAGTGCTATTATGATGATCTCCAAATATGTACCGTGTTTCCTTGTATCCTCCTTCAACATGTTTCTTTTCAAAAGTATGTCGACTCTGATTTTTCTTTTCTGTAATGTTAGTGATATAGCTGCCATTTGTACAATGTGGTTAATTCAATGTCTTTAAATGTATATCATTACTCCCCATCATAGTTCAGGTCTGTGACTGATATATCACAGCCTGAGCTTAATGCTTTGCCAGACGTCCTTGCCAGTTGTGTTTGAACTCCATTTGTATTACACTTCTTACCTCTGTCAAGCTCTGAATCAAGTCAAAGTGAACACAGATGTGAGTCTTTTTACCCTATAAAGTTCAGAATGTTCCCCAAGCATACTGCCGAGCAACATGTTGGGTGAAGTTACCCCTTAGAAGTTATTTTAGCTCTTTTCCCCCCTGTTAACTGAGGTAATCAATATTTTTACATGCACATAAAAAAATCTCAAAAAGAAAAAAGTGAGACAACAATGCTTTTAGAGAAAGATGAAAACGTGGCTGACAGGGAGCTGGCTTTGTTTACTTCCTGGTTTAAAACTACTAACACCACCATAAATTAAGTTTATTTAGATGCAAGAAACCTTTTGGCTGTAAATCAAGGCAACAGCTCCAAGAAAATCCTTCCCATTTCATAAAAAGCCATTGATGTTCACATTCTAAATCATGTCTTCATGATCACAGGGAAGATGAAACAAATTCGCCATTAAAAATGACTCAACTTGACTGAGTAGAGAAATGAAATGTTCCAGCTGATGCACATTTAGTCTTTCTGTTTTTGTAAATGTTTCTGTTCCAAAGCAATCCTGATGAT